TTTTCGCAAAAGAATAATAACATAATAATCCCATGTTTTCTGTAGGTATACTATTTAACGTTAAATTTAACCATAACTCATCAGTGATACCAATTGTACGAAAAAAATCTTCAATATCAAATGTATTATCTGTCATTATTGTACAAGTCACCGATCTATATTGTGTTGATTTAATTATTAATTTCTTGTTTAATGGTAATTGAGAAAGTACAGAACATTTTCTTGCATCATAAAAACAGCCAAGAAGAATAGATTCACTAAAAGCTGTATAATATATATTATCAATATCTTTTGGTAAACTTTGACCAGCACTCGTAGGTCTTCCTTTAGTTAAAGACATTCTGAAAATCTAAATAGAATAATAATATTTGAATGAACTACAGTCATTAGTATTATTTGTGAAGACGAAAAAACAGACAAAATATTCTGCGGTATTTTTAGTTGGGGACAATTTTCAAATAACATTTAAAAAGCTTTCACCTATTACTGTCTGATTCTTACCTTTGCAGGAGTAGTAAAATGCAATATTTTTCTTTTTATTTCTTCTAAATCTGTAATTGCTATAAAAACAACGAACGATGCAGATAGATTATGCGCAAGGAAGAAAGAAAAATTTTTTTTCATTTAATTTTTGCACACATCGATTCTATTTGAATGAGTCAAAGAAAAATAAATCTATAGACGAAGAGAAAGTCACGTTAGTTGAAAGAAAAAGAATAACAATATTCAAATTTAGATATGTACATGTTAATAACATGAATGGTTTTGTATAAACATTCAAAATTTTTTACTTTTCTGCTAACTGAAAGTTAAAATATATACGTAATATACAATAGATTTGATTAGACGAATAGTTTCATAGACTAAAATCAAGAAATATCAGACGCAAACTAATTGTTCTACGATAATGAATGAAGAGCACTGTATAACTAAAGTAAAGTTGATACCATTTTAAGAGTGTGAGCTGGTGAGAGGTGTGAATATTCTATTTCATTGACATCCATACCTATCATCAAATATTATTTGTAGATATTTTTGAGATTAAAGTGGATTATATAACATATTTTTCATTTTTCAATGTCCTGTTTCTGATAAATAGGATGTGAACCTAATGGTTCTTTTTTGATTTTTTATATTTATTTTATTCGGTAAACACCTAGACAACTTTGCATTTATGAATTAAATAGAGAAAATCAAAGCTGAGTGACACATGTTCGTTAAATTTATATTCTTCATTTGTCAACAAGAAATAATCTATACTCCTTATTCTCTATGTTTTACTCTATGTAAATAATGACTAACTGTTGGTGTTTATTATTACGATAGTTTATATTTGATTGATTATATTATTTAAATAAACGATTGAAATTTAACTTTAGCTTAGAATTGAATAGAAAAGCACGATTCAAATCGCAAGTCTGCTTGTATAGGATTAATTTTTTGATGAATATAGTTGACATTAGATTTAAGAAGGATATTTCATACTAAATCCTACTATAAGTCTGTGATGACATTACATATTTATTTTAAAATCTAATCTTACGAAGAACATCTCTATGGTAATGAACGCTTTCAGGTAAGCACATTACTTATATTAATTGTCTTTGCAATACTTGGAAAAAAGCATACACTATTTAATATATTTAAAGAATCGTTTACTTATAGATAATTCATTATGATATACCTCCAATTGTATTATGTGGCCTTTTTATACGATGAAACTGTTTTAACAGCCATTTCTTGAAATCAGGAACTAGTCCAATACACATCCAAGGAAGTAAAAGACAAATCAAATAAGTTAAATCTGATATATAGTTTTCTTGAATGTCATATAGAGATGTTGTCGCATTTACTTGTTGCATTAAACCACTAACTATACTAGGTATCCATGTAACTAAATAAAGACTAGATATACTAAGTAATTGTAGTGTCATACGCCTTTGTTTTGACCAAGAAATAGTCTGTTGTCGACGATGTTTTTGTTCAATAACTCGAATTATTAATGTTGCATTAGCAAAAATAATAATAATAATAGGTAAAGCAGTGTTAACTATCCAATCATATGTTGCTAAAATCTGATTATTTGAAAGATAACAAATAGTATCACCACACATATTTAACTCAAAGTTCCACTGTGAATCATCACAATGATAAAATATAACTGCACCCAAATAAAATATCGCTGGATAACAAAAAGCAAAACAAAGAGGAGAGTAGTAAAAAATGTAACGTTTTAAACGTATTCGTAATATATTCGGTTGAAAGACAAGTGTATGTCGTTGAATAGATATAACTGCTGCAAGGAATGCATTGGATGCATCTAGTGTAGATTCGAGATACACCCAAAATTTACAATATGTACCTGTTGCTGGACTAATCCGATTAAGACGAAGGAAATGGACAAGTAATGATATATTAGATGATAACTGAATAAAGTTAACAATAAATAAAACTAATAAAGCTTGATTTTGTAGTTTACGTAGATGAACTTGATTTGTAATAAAAAATAGGAAGATGAGAAAAGAAAGAATTAATGCTGGAATTTGTAATGATAATGTAAGAATAAATTTAACATGATGAATACTAGCTGAACCATTCACTACTACATCCAAGTTGTCGATTTCAACCATTGAATTATTTATTTTGAATGCAGAAAATTCTTCATCTATTTTTTAACAATAATGATGTCACGCCTCTGTAAAGACATTTCTTGTTCGTGTCTGATTTTATTAATGATGTACTTCTTCCTTTTCATTATTTTGTCTCATCTCTATATATAGGATTATGTCACCTATGACAAAAACACGACTGAAAATGTGTCGTATAAGCTAAAAGGTACATCATCAAGGGTGACAATGATATTCTATCTGCTTATTATATTAACTCACAAAAAATAAAATAAAAAATAATTTATTCTTTATTTCTTAAGAGTATAAATGAGCAACTATTGATAGTTATCACTTTATTTTATTAGAAAAGATGTATTCTACATTCGTTTCTTCTTTTTTTTTAAATTAATTTATTTTTCTGTAATTTGATTAATCGTGAATTTAACTGAATGGAATCTATTGAAAATTTGTATGCAAATTAAAACTAAACGTTAACAGTAGTTACTTTTTTTAAACGTCTTAAATCGAATTAAATCAAATTAAAAACTTTATAATAAAGGTACTCCTATGTGATATTCATGTATACGATGTCTTATAATTTCTAGATTAAATCGATAGAATTACTACAAGGAAGAAAATGTAATTTGCAAAGATATCTACTTCATTTGTGTTTCATTATTATGTTTTGATACTTATTTCTTAGAGCGATCCAGTTGTCCTATAGCTCAATATTTCATCTATTTCGTATTCTACACTCTTATTTCGCTAAGGCAAGATCTAATAGTCTAATTATTAATTATATAGCTCGTCACCTCGAGAGAATCTATTTTGGAAAACAGAAATAAAGTTTTTGAAAGTTTCCATAAAATTAATTTCTATATCGAGCGATTCTTTTGAAGATATAACAAAAGGAATGTGACTTTACACATCCTGTTTTTGTGCAGATTAAAATAAAATCATTGAAATTCTCATCAATATTCTTGTTGTGTCCTTACTAATATTGTATATGAAGATGTATTAGTACATAAATTGCTAGATTCTACTTTTTTTCGAGAATATATATGCCACTACATATGTATATGTATTAGATATGCACTGAAGGTTATCAGTATAATTTGTATTTTTACTTATGCAACACTTATCATTAGCACAATTTATAGAGAATTGAAAATAAAATAGTATAAATCTCAAAGTAAAATGAATAAGAACTTGGATGTAGATGGGTTTTTTTAAATGAATGTGTACAATGTGATGCATTATTTGGTTCAAAAAATGATGTTCATTACATTTTTAATACAATAGAAATATCATGCATTGCAATATTTTTAAATCCTTAATACATTCTATTACTAGACTCATGATAATGACTTCCGTCTATGATTATCTCTGGTACTAAATAATAAAAATAGAAAAGTTTTCTTTTTATCAATTTTACAAGAAAAAATTGTCAACAATGCACGCAATCACTTTCGAATCAACAATATGACTTCAATGAATTATCAAATATTCTACAAAACTTTTTTTCTTTTTCAAAATCTTCTAACTTTAGACATATGATTACAAATGCAACAAAATATTGACTAAAATTTATCATTGATCGTACTAGTTCGTGAAATCTTTTCAGCAAAAATTCGTTTCATTGTAGTTTATAAAATAAGATACTGATTCATTTGTTGATGTCTTAATTAACGAAAATGTTGTTCAGAAATTGGTACTACTAGTAACAGATTTGAATGAAAATTTATATTGTTTTGCAATATAAGACTTTACTGTATTAATCTATTCTCAATCTTAGATATTTTAATCAACATAGAATTACATGAAGTTAGAAGAACTGAAAAAAGAAAAAGTTTTGTACAATATTTGATAATTCATTGAGATCTATTATTCAAGATAATAGCTGAGAATGGTCTCTCCCCCCCCCCCCTTGAATTACATTTGATATTTAAAAATTTCTACAGAAACACTCAAAATTTAATTGTGATATTAACAATTCGTTATACATTAGAGTATGAATGTTTTTCTCTCTACAGAATTAATTTCTTGGCTTCAATGACTTCCAAATATTGTTTATATTCACATTAATTTGACAGAATTCAAGTATTGATTTACTACTTGTACGAATAATTTATATCTTCATTCTTATCTACGATCTACTGAGTGATTATATATCGATCGTTCTTTATTAATGAATAGACAAATGAATGAAGAAATTTGTCATTTGTTTCTTTCCTATATCATTGATGAAGATCGTTTTCTTCAATTAAAATGTTTTACGTTTGATGAGTTGCAAAAATATTACAACATCATGACAAAATATTGATCAATGGATTAGTTTCATTCTTGCTCATATTGATGAACATGAATTAACATGTATACGTTTTGATTTTATTGAAAATGAAAACAAAATAACTAAAACGAATATATATATATAATCAAATAATTATAATTCTTCAATCACAATAGATTATTGATATTCATCAATTTTTACAGGATAATCAATGGTATTGCTTTATGGATCGATTGACAAAAAGTATTTTTCATCAACAAAATAATCTTTCAATTGGTTTATTCCTATATGATATATTAAAATAAAATAAAATAGATAAATTTGTTGAAAATAAATGTTTACCTAAATAAAAACAATTCATCATTCTAACTTGTTCTGAAATTATTATTCGATAGTTTAAGGATTTTTACTTATCAGATAAGAAGTGATTTTGAAAAAGAAATTGTTGATCTTTCAAATGATGAGGATTAGCAACAGTTACTACCACATTTTGAGTAAGAAACAGCTCCATCCATATTAGTATCTCATCCTAAAACAACCACAACGACTTTTTCAAGTATGGATAATGATGAATATACTACTATTATGGAATTTAAGAAAAGACGATTAATCTTTTATGGAATATAGGCTGAGTTTTTCTTCTATCGCTCTACACCCTTATCCACACTCACACCCTCAAGATACTCATCTATAGATATATCTTCTTTATCACATTTTGTCAACTGTAGTAATAGCATAAGTTCTGCCTTTTTCGTGCCAATCATTCATACGGTCTAAATTAGAAGAACGTAAAAAATAATAATACATAAAAAAAACGCATTTGTCGTTCTATACAACGCAATTCTTTCTATTCTTTAAAGTCAATAATAAATAAAAAAAAGTGAAGGAGTATGGAGAACATTCTTTTTTCTGTTCTTCACAAAATAAATACAACGTCAATTCTTTTGTCCTATCTAAACTCCCTTTCATATATACATTGTGCGATTTGATCTACGCAAAAACAGAATTCCGTTGTATAAAATGTTTTTGCGTTATTCTGATAATGCGTATTTCTATCAATTTAGTTTTTGCGTATTTGATGAAGTATATATACGAGATGCAAAACGTCGAAGAGCATAACAAATTTCTCAACATAACAAAACTTAATAATTTACACATTTTGTTTAAATCTACTGAATTAAACTGACAAACAATGTCATCAAATCAAAATCAACAAGCTGATCAACAATGGAACAACCAGCAACAACAACAACAAGGAAAGAATTGTCAAAATGCTAACTGTCAACAAAACGAAGAATGTTGTCAAGGTGGTATTAATCAACAACGACAACAAGATCGTCAAGATCTAAGTCGCCAACAAAGCCAACAGAATAACCAAGGTTTAAATGCACAACGACAACAACAACAAAATCAACAAGGTGGTCAACAACTAAACAACCAGCAACAACAAGATCCTCAAGATCTAAATCGTCAACAAAATAACCAAGATTTAAATGTCCAACGACAACAACAACAAAATCAACAAGCTGGTCAACAAATAAACAACCAGCAACAACAAAATCAAAAACAACAACAACAAGATCGTCTTGGTTATGACGCTCAACAAAATCAACAAAATTTGAATGCCCAACGACAACAACAACAAGGTCAACAAAGTAATTGTGCTCAACAATTTAAACAAGCTGGTCAAATTGGAAATGCGCAACAACAACAACAACCTCGCCTCATTCATTAAATTGATACTTTTATAGCATGATAAAAGACAGTCATTTTGTATATTTTTCTGTAATATTGATGTTTTTTTTTATATTTTTCATAGTTTTTAGAAATTTGTGTGTATGAATTTGAAATAAAATAATCGAGAATGAAAATAATGTCAGAAATGTCTTATTATTTCGAATGTAAAATAATGTAATTATATTGAAAGTGATGGGGTTAAATATGATCATGAGAAGTATCTGAAAAAAAATATTATTATAAATTTTTGAGGTTAATTATAGTCGTTTGTACAAGAAAAAGATCACTCAAAAATATAGAGAGTTGAATACTTGAACATTTTTTTTTCTGTTTATAAGCACATAGAATTTCTAATAAATAAAACGATAATTGTTTTGTATTTAGTCATTTTATTTTTCAGTATCGTTATTTATTCCTTTATTCTCATTACAAGCCATGTTTATCAAATTTGAATAAGTGAACGTTTAAGAGAATTTAAAAATGAATTCGCAACAATTACTTTATTATCAAACACCATTATCAGCATTATTACTTCTACCATATATAATATATATGGAAAATTTTCCAGTATATAAAACATATGAAGAACAACAAATAGCTGTTGTAGCTTCGGCTATTGTTGAATTTGTTGTTAATTTATGAGTTTATTGGGTTATTACAAATACGTCAATTTAAATTAATTTTCTTTTTTTTTCAACTAAGAAAATTTTCGATCAGCATTGACTTACAATATGATTAGTCATATGAAGACGATTTCAATTCTTCTTCGTAGTTTTACTTTATTTGATGATTTCCCTAGTTTTAAAGAATTTATTGAAATTTTATTAACATTATCTGGTTTATTTTCTTATACATTTGTACGAATAGATGAAGAAAATCAAATACTATGTACTCGATGTAATTTAAATCCAACAACAAATACTATTTAAATCAATTGCAGATCTAATTTTTTCTTTGTAACAGTTTTAATATTTATATAAGATTATCGTCATAAATAAATATAGGTATTCTTCATAAAATATTTCTTGATTGTTACTTATACTTCTTTTCTATTATATGAGATATGCATGTATATACATAAATATTATACTGATAAAAGAAATAACAAATAATTGTAAAACCATAGAAAAAATAAGATACGATAAAATGGATGAAGTATTTGTATAGAGTATGCCGATACTATAGGTAAATTTTCAACAAAGATAAATAATTATCTAAAATGTAAGTAGGGATTTGGATAGCTCTTGAAATTCTCTATTAGATAGAGTATCAGGTAATATTTGAAGAGAACCTTTGTTAAAAAATTTTCAAAAAAATGAAAATTTATCTATAGTATTGGAATACTTTGTACATATATTTTCTTTTTATTAGTGAAGTTTCTTTGAATAATTAACTGTTGGAGCATAAACCATTCTGAAGAAATCATTAGCATTAATAAATTCCATTTAGTTCCTTTTATTAATGAATTTTCAAGAGTATACATGCAGCAAAGATTAAGACGAGCATATTTTGTAGTATAATAATGTGTACCAAGTTCTTGAATTGTTCCTACTTAAATCATTTCCTAAAAATAATAACACTAAAATTAAGGATCTTTCATAATCTATAAGATTAAATTCAAAACTTCGAATCAATATAAAACAATAAAAATCTTTATAGAAAATAGTTCCTCTCTGATATTCATATTTTTAGAAGTATAAGAATCTTATAATGAAAATTGATGTATTCATATAATTATCAATAATAGTAGCATGTGTAATGGCAGACAATATTTTCACATATTCAATCATGTTCCCCGATTTACTTTACTTGATAATATAAAAGAAATATCCACACAAGTTAATGTTGGAAATTTCCAAGAGATTAAAGTACAAAAAAGAACCGCGATTATTTACTTCCTTTCGATTATTTTTATCTCATGGACTGCCCTTTCAATGAAAGAAACAGTGGTGCAATAACTTTCATTACAAAAGAAATACGAAAATAAATTCCACGGAATTGATAATTTAATCTATTTCAATCCAAGAAATATCCCAAAATAGAATAAACTGTTTCATCTCTTCCTTTGTAGTCGTATTAATAGCTTTTAACCAGCTATATTGTATTTCAAAATAGATTATTGTATATGTTACATTTACGCAGAAGAAACGAAACCATATGAAGATAAATATCGTAAGTTGGAAACTTTCTATTTTTATCCTTTCCAAAACAGGATGTGGGAAGAAAAACACATTAAATGGCGTTGGTTAAAGAGGTATTATTGCGAATCTATGTAACAGAGTACAAAGAACGAATAAAAAATTGAATTACGTCGATGGGAAAGATATTTTGCTTGGCCTATATAATAATACGCAAAGTGAGACAATAAATATCACACTATTTGTCTTTATTTTTAGCTAATACCACTACTTACAACTAGATAACAGTAAGTTTTTATCCAATTTTACTCTATGTACTCATATCCGTAAGAGATAAATCAAATCATTTATTTCTTACTTTAGATACAAAACTCAAACAAAATGATTTTCTTTGTTTTAACTATCGCCATGATTATTTTGTTTATAATCAAGTATTATAAACATCATCATCATCATCATTTTTACTCAAATTTTGAACAATTCAATCAATATTATTGTCAACCATTTGCTTCTTTAATCAATGATGACAAAAACTTCCCATTATCAGGTATAGATAGATTACATAAATGTGAAAATAAAAACAATCATCATATCAAATCCAATATGGATTGTATGTCTATTTATAAATATATACGAGAATTTATTTGTCAAAGTAATGAATATACAAATAGACCAGGACCTGTCTGTCCATTTGTACCAACATCATTAAAACAAAACTCGATGTATTTCTTCATCTCAAATGATCAATACAATACTAAAGAACGAATAATTAAAATGGTCGAACAATGCAAATATGATTTTCTATATAACTTAAAACCTAATGATGGCAATCGAGATAGATTAATTTACAAATGTTTAGTTATGTTAATTAGATCATCGGATGTACCACATAGTTTAATTGATGAAATTCAGATAGAATTAAAACCAAGTTTTCTTCAAGATGGTCTTATGTTTGGCGAATTTCATCAATCAGCTAATTCCAATGCAATTCGAAATGAAAGTTTCTATCCAACTCGAACAAATGTACCATTATTAGTTATTCGATATATGGTTGCTAATGATATTATTTTTCTTACTAATCAAGAAAAGAAATATCCTGTTGAAACTTGTGTAAATATGATCAAAAAATATTTAGAATTATATCATTTAGGTTCATTATATCGTTCGAAACCAAATCACTTACAAAGTGCTAATGATATTCTTGAAAAATTAAATTGTTCGATTAAAGAATAAAATCATGATAGTTTCTTTACAATTTATAATTAACTGATCCCGATGAAACTCAAAAATGGAAATACTAAATGATCTAACTGAATTATGCATATATATATATATATAAACTAAACCTATTTTTTATTGTTGGGTTTTTTTTCTTGCTTGTTTCTTTAGAGTATAATAAATAAATGTTTATTCTATATAAAGCTTACTATATAATCATGTAATGTAAATGTGATAATTTAAGTTTTATACTATGTACTTCACAACATGAAGAATGGAGGAAGTCTAGCGATAAATCACACTGAGAGATGACTGGAGATTTAAGTGAGGATATTTATATTATTCACTTCCATATTTTCATCATTCAAAGAATAACCAAGGAAAGAGAGAAAAAATGTTTGTATCAAGTCTCGTTATAGAATGAGGCAATATAACTAAAAATCATTTTTGGATTTATTGTTGTATTTTTTTTAACATCAATCAGCATAGAAAACTTTTAACGACAGAGTAAGGATATTCTGTTTATATACATATCTGCATAATAACGAAACGAGAGGATGCAAATGTGAGTGAATATCTTTTTTATTTCAAATGCCTTATTCGCATCCACACCTACATCCGTCCTTAAGGTGTTTTTACTCATTCATACTAAAGATTACAGAAATACTACAATAATAATGTCGATTAATAGTAATGAATGCACATCATTATTATTAAAAAAATGCATTAAACTCATTGATAAACTACATTTTAATAGAATGTCGAATAATTGCAATATGATTAAATATATCGTCAAGTCAGTCAAATGATAATTAGACTTTATGGTTATAGTTATGATACGATATAAAATTCGATGTATTTTGTAAAGGAATATTAGATATTATCGCTAGAAAAAATTCATTGTCCTACAGTTCCAATTGTATTCGGTGGTCTTTTTAGACGACGAAAATATTTTAACATCCATTTCTTGAAATCGGGAACTAGTCCAATACACATCCAAGGAAGTAAAAGACAAATCAAATAAGTTAAATCTGATATATAATTTTCTTGAATGTCATATAGAGATGTTGTCGCATTTACTTGTTGCATCAAACCAGTAACTATACTAGGTATCCATGTAACCAAATAAAGACTAGATATACTAAGTAATTGTAGTGTCATACGCCTTTGTTTTGACCAAGAAATAGTTTGTTGTCGACGATGTTTTTGTTCAATAACTCGAATTACTAACGTTGCATTAGCAAAAATAATAACAACAATAGGTAAAGCAGTGTTGACTATCCAATCATATGTTGCCAAGATCTGATTATTTGAAAGATAACAAGTAGTATCACCACACATATTTAACTCAAAGTTCCACTGTGAATCATCACAATCATAAAATATAACTGCACCCAAATAAAATATCAATGGATAACAAAAAGCAAAACCAAGAGGAGAGTAGTAAAAAATGTAACGTTTAAAACGTATTCGTAATATATTCGGCTGAAAGACAAGTGTATGTCGTTGAATGGATATAACTGCTGCAAGGAATGCATTGGATGCATCTAGTGTAGATTCGAGAAACATCCAAAATTTACAATACGTGCCTGTTGCTGGACTAATCCGATTAAGACGAAG